TGCCAGGAACTAAAGACATTGCCTCATTTAATTCTCAGAACACATGTGGAGGGAAGTATACTTATGCCTACTTTATAGATGGGAAAAATGATTTGTTCAACAAAAGTCACATGAGCAGATAGTAGATTGTGAACTAGATTTTAAACAAAGTCTATTGAACCCATGCAATTTGCAGTATAACCTGATGCTTTTCAGGACTTACCTGAATGTACAAAAGGCAGAATGGGCTAGGATGGTAAAGTGACCTATCAATGAATATGATTAAGGACATAAAAACTTTATAAAAATTTATCTTTATTGTTGAAAGTATTACAGATGTCCCCATTCCCCCTACTGCCCCCTTCCAGTCTGCACCTGTCCTCCCATCCTAGGCCTTCATCACATCAGGACACGAATACTTTTATTTTACTGTTACTTGTTTTTCCACCTATAGTAGTTGCCCACATAACTGTCATATCTACCCTGAAACAAGGGATTTCAAACTGGATTGAAGAGAGTCAACTACATTTATATGGTTATGATCTTCCCAACATGCATTTACTGCTTGATGGCAACAATGGGAACAAAAACCATCCAGCTAGAATTTTCTTATATAATGAGGTAAAACAACTTAGAGAGTTATAAATTTCTTTCCCCTTCAACTTCCCATATGGAGAAACTGTCACCATTCCTTGCTTCTCTTAGGACGGAGACACAGTCTTTCTTATTCCTCAGCACTGTCCTTTGCCCACTTTGTCTCCCCTCTCCTAGTGGAAAATTGAAGGAGGCATATAAAACCTACTTAACTTTTCTTCTTTTTTCAGATGCTAATTATAGACAGAAGAGCCTGCATGGTTGAAATATGTGGTATATTCTTTCATTATAATTATTACTACATTTATTGATATAATATTAGAGTTGACCTTTTGTTTCAAGGTTATCACAAAATTGATTATTTAATATTAGTTTAATTCTTGTCTCAGTTATTAATTGACAGGATGTATTTATGGTAAGTGTGGGAGAGAGGGAATTAGAAATAACATGAAATAAATAGCAAAATTGGCATAATATTTTAGAACTTATAAAGTAAATACATTAATATTTTAGAATTTATAAAGTTATTAGTTCTACATAATAACATTATTCAGTTATTATTCAAGTCCAGGATATTATATTTTACAGAGTAGGCAGCTGAGGTTTAGAACAGTTCAAAAGTTTACCCAAGGTGACAAAGCTGGGATCTGGCAAACACAGGTCTTTCAACCCCTAGTCAAAGTTTTTTTCTTACGTTGACAAGTTGTTTGAGCATATGCATTATTTTAGCCACTTATAGTTGAATGTGGTGGAGTCAGGCATCCCTGGGTTTCCATCCTTGCTGACACTTATTAGTTGTGTACCATGAGAAAGTTGCTTAATTTCTCTGAGTCTGAATTTTCTTACTAGTATATGTAAACTAGGTATAATAATAAATTATATACATCTCAGACTTATTCAAGATTAAAGATAACATAGGTATAGCCCTGAGCGCCATGCATGGACCATAAGACCTCAATAAATAGTAGTCATCATGGACATGAATGTTTAATAGAAGAAAAGGAGGTGGTATATAGAGTCAATGAGTTTGTGATGGGCTAAAAGTGAGAAAAAAGCATAGGAAAACTGGAAAGAAATTATTGTAATGAAGATGACCATCATTTAAAAAGTATGCACTCATTGCAGCCACACTGTAGGCTACAAAGTAGAATTTGGCCATACACACAGGATACATCATTAGTCCCAATCACCAGTCCTAGTGCTAACGTTGGTCACTGGCATATTTCCACTGGTATAAAATGAAATGAGAAAAATATAGCAATTTTTTATGAAACTAAATTTATTCAGTATACACTTGCTCATTATTTTCACATAATTTCAGCTTTTTTTTTTTTTTTTGGCTGTTAGAATGTTCTTTTGGGAAGTAATAGTGATAAATAGTTGATTTTTTAATGTCCATACTAGACAAAATAAAAAGTTGGCAAATATATGTCAGCTTTCCCCCACTAATATTTATTTGGAAATCCCATAGTCTAGAAATCATTGAATCAGTTAATCTTCAAGATTTCTTACAGTTCTGGGAACCTAGATTCCTAGATATCAAAGGAACTTATCTGTAAGGACCATTCAGTAATACCAGGCAGAGACTATCCAAGGAGACTTCAATGTATCTAGTTCCCAATAATTAATATTTTATACAGAGGCCCAATTTTTGTTCACTAGGAAATTACAATCTAAGAGCAGAAATGCAAATTGTTGTCCCCCAACAGCACACAGAAAGTAGGATAGAAATATCAACCTAATATACAGATTAAAAATGAGCTACTTACAGCATATTAAGTAGGTGGTTAGATAGGAGGCAAGACAAAAATCATGATATGGGCAATGGGCGCTATTTGGAAGGAATAGCCCTGTGCAGATCTATACCCAAACTAAACAATCAGGTCATCTTGGAGTCAACCAGGAATATCTGGAACTCCCTAAAAGTTATGGAATTGCTTTCTTTACCTTGATTTCCTGAGACTGGACATGACTATAGAATTTCAATGGCTATACCAGAGAGATGGTTCTAATCAGGAATTAAGAAAAAAGCATTTGGTTTGTTGGCTTTTATTTTTATACTACATACAGGTTCTGATGAATATTGGTTAAAGTAAATAGGCCACGAAACAATTACAGAATAGTTGGGCCAGTAAGCAAAATTTGTGGTTAAAATTCATGATTAAAATTCATGATTAAGCAGATTCTCATTATACCTAAGTTCATCCTTAGTCACAAGAGGTACGTTACTTAAAAAGATCTAGTGTAGTGGGTGAAATGTTTTTTTCTTTTTTTTTTTTTAAATCCTCACCCCAACATATGTCTTCAAAATGATTTTAGAGAGGATGGGAGAAAGAGGGAGAGAAAGAAACATTGATGTGAGAGAGAAACATCAATTGGTTGCTTCCCCCATACACTCTGAGTAGGGATTGAACCTGCAGCCTAGGTTTGTGTCCTGACCAGGAATCGAACCTGCAATCTAGGTATGTGCCCTGACTGGGAATCAAACTAATAAGTGCCTGAGTCTGAGTAAAATAAGGCCTCTGTATAAAATATTAGTTATTGGGAACTAGATACATTGAAGTCTCCTTGGATAGTCTCTGCCTGGTATTACTGAATGGTCCTTATAGATAAATTCCTTTGATATCTAGGAGTCTAGGTTCCCAGAAATCTTGAAGATTAACTGATTAAGTGATTTCTAGTGAATCAAACCCACTACCAATGAACTGAGCCACTCAGCCAGGGCTGAAATGATTTATTTCATTCAAGTGGTCTTCCTTTGACCTCATTTTATGCAATCCTACTTCCAGAAAGAGGTCTTCATGGCACTTTCCAGTCTAACCCAACCTAACCTTTGGACTTCCTGGTTGCTTGGTTTAGTAAAAGCTCCTTAGGAAACTTCATTTGAAGGCTATCAATGCTAGCTCTTTCCAGATTCCTTAATCCCATTGGTGGGAAGGGAAAGGGAGACAGGTTGCAATTTCAGTGTTTGTGGGTTCTGAGACTACCCTTCGGGAAAACCTTTGATCTGCATTTTAGAGTTTTGCCTGTTTGATATCAGAGGCCTTGGGACACTCATGCATACCTCTGCTGCACAAAGACGTTCATCTGCCAAGTAGAAGGCCCATTTTGTCCCAGAAATAAGCCAAAAGTGGGGACTAATGGTCTGACTGCACAAACTGGGCCTGGCTTTTCTTCTGCACTTTGGTTTGAGACCTAAGGTTAGAGCCGATAGGTGCTGTGGGTCTCCACTTGAGGAGCCAGGGCAGGTGGTGCACCATGTGGGTTCCAGGCTGTTCTTGTACATCTAGGGGGATACTTGTGGGTGGACTCTAGGTGACTTCAGGGTGAGTTTGAAAACTCAACGGTGTCATTCTGTTCCTCTCTGGCACCATAAAGGCTCACTTCCCAACAGCAGAGGTAAGCCCAAGGTTGACCTTGAGGAAGGGCTGGAGGGGCACCTCTGTTTGTGCATTGGAGTAGAGTGGACAAGCAGTGGTTCAGATGAGATGGGTGCATTGCTGCCTAGACTATCCACACACAGACCAGGTTGCTTTGACTTGGCCTAAGTCAGCGTAAATTGAAGCCCCCAAAACATTTCACTTTGGCTGCAGGCAGAACGGAGCCACACGCAGCCTGGATCCCCGTGTCCCTACACACAGAGAAGCTCTTTGACCTGGTCACTCTGTATATTACTTCTGGCCACTCTTTGCCCCATCTAGGTCAGAGGATGCTTCTGGGTGGATACCCAGTGTGTTGCAGAGGTCCTGACTTGTGTCCATGGAGTCTTCGTCTGCACTCCATGCTTTGGCAGGAATCAGTCGCTGCAGGAATCAGGACCATCTGCTACTTAACTAACATCCTTGCTCTCCTGCTTCAATCCAAAGGGAAGGGCCCAGAGTAGGCAGAATAGCTGATGCTGTAAGGACCAACAGGCACAGGCTGGGGTGGACCTTTTACTCCACTGTGCCCAGGGCTGGCGCTGGGCTGTCCTGTTGGGGTTGTAGCTAGACCAGCCTTCCCCAGAACCTCACAGGGAGGGAAGTAAAAAAAAGACATCCCACCCTGTACTCAAAACTTAAAACAGCACTGCTTGGATCCCTTCCTCCACTTCCTGACCCTAGAGGGTTAAATCTGGAGGGTACAACGCCACCCCTCCCTCCTACTTCCCGCCTCTCCCCCAACCACCCCCTTACCTTTAAAAAGTTAAAAAATGTCTGCAGTCGAAATCTCTTAAAGGGGCGGTGCTGGTGAACGAGTACTCTTGGCAAGAGTTGCTGAGAAGGCTGGCTAGGGGCGTGAGTTCGCTCCACCAAGCACCAAAACACAGAAGAAAAAAAAAAAGGAAAAAAAAAAGAGAGAGAGAGAAAGAGAGAGAGCAAGGGGGGGGGGGAGGAAGGGAAAAAAGGGGGGAAAAGCAGACAGACACACACTTTAGATAAGGACAATTAGTCACCAGCGAGACCCTGTAGGAAGAGAGGTTTAAATCAGAGGGATTTAATGAGGGTGCTCTGTGCCTTCCCTGAAGCCATGCCCTCCAGCAACTCCCGCCCCCCCTCGTGCCTAGCCCCGGTGGCTCTCTTCTTGGCTCTGTTGCTCCATCTCTTCCTTTCCTCCCAAGCTGGAGACAGGAGACCCTTGCCTGTAGACAGAGCTCCAGGTTTGAAGGAAAAGACCCTGATTCTACTTGATGTGAGCACCAAGAACCCAATCAGGACAGTCAATGAGAACTTCCTCTCTCTGCAGCTGGATCCGTCCATCATTCATGATGGCTGGCTCGATTTCTTAAGGTAAGGCAGGGGCTTCCATGGATCATTTTTTTTAAGTAACAACCCCCCACCCCTCCTATCTCCCATTCCAAGGGGAAAGAAGAAGAAAATAAGCCAAGCGGATTTCTCTGAAAGAAATGAGGTTTTCCTCCTCCTGGAATATTTGCTGTGAGGCTGTAACTGGTGATTGAGAAAAGCAATGTTTTCTATTAAGATGCACATGTTTGCAATGCAGAAGGCATTTCAGAAACTTATCAGTTATGACTGAAGAAATGTTGTGCTTACATATATCTGTAATTAGTCTACCCGTCTCCTTCTGAAAAAGAGACGAGGTTCAGGACAGTTACAAAAGTGAAGAAAAGGTCTCCAGCAACAAAGACCCGAGAGGAATGTATGTATGTATGTATGTGTGTGAGAGAGTGCGTGTCTGCGTGTGTGTCTGTGAGTGTTCAAGCGGGGAATAGCACGAAAATGGAATTTTCCACGGAAAGATAGTTTTTTCAGTTCTCTCCAACTCCCAGACAGAAAATGAATTTAAGCAGAGGCTTGAGTGATAGACAAGTGGATCATATTTTTAAATTTTTATTTTATACCCTCCACTCTCATCTCCAGACTTGAGGACTTTGTAAGATGCTTTTTATAGACCGAAGGGCCCCCCAGTCCCTCCTCCTCAAATCTCCTGCGGTAACTGCATAGTTTAGTTTTTCTTTAAAGAAAAAAAAAATCCTCGCTCTGATCATAGCATATATAAGGAGAGCGGAAAGGGTTCTAGAAATACTCCAGGGATGTTTCAGAAGTCTGAACACGGCACTGGCGGATTCGCAAACCCGGAGGCTGTGTTCACAGACCCCCTTACTCTCTGGCTTGGAATCCCTCTCGCCGGTTGTTAATGTTCAGCAGTTAGGCAACCACGATCCCTTCCCGTCAGGGACAGAGTTGCAGTGTAAAGAAAAAGAAATAAACAGATCATCTGTAGTGCTGAATCCAAGTGCTGAGTTTTTAAAAATCCCTCCAAATTGGAGCCTCAGCAGTGGGCTCACCCAAAGAGTCTTGAGCGCTTTTAGTCTCCTTTCTCCGCCCTGAGGCCGCGACCGCTGCGCTTCTTTCGTGAGTATCTTTGACTCCTCGCGAAATTCGAGTTTTGCTTCTCGTGTGCGCCCGCCCCTCAGCCCTCTGGGTCTCCAGGACTTTGCCGGGTCAGCGGACTCGGCAGGTAGCGGGAGGCGCAACATGGGGCGCTCCTTCCACATGGAGCAAGCCTTGCGTGAGGACTGAGTGGCTGTCGCCGCCGCCTCCGAGGCCGCTTCAGCTGCTGCCCCATCTCCGCTGGGAGGGCGGGAACATCTCCGCGCCGCCTGGCGTCCTCCTTGGAAGCTCTTCATGCAGCAGAACGTGTCTCTGAGCTTGTCCCCAGGTGGGGGGCAACCGGGGTTTGCCGAGATACACGCCCCACTTGCATTGCACTTATCCAGCTGCGCAGACTCCTTCAGGATTCTCTTTAAAAAAAACATCCTGTTTGCGCCAAATACTTGCCACAGAAAAGATTCTAGAAGGCGGCATTGGGGGAAGAAGCCGTGGCGGGCGTATTTGCATTGGCTGTGCAGGCTTCCGGACGGACGGTGCTGGGAATGCCGATTCCGCAGGTCGGACTACTCTGCCGGCGGAGGGCCACGCGATATCCGACCGCGCTTCCCTGGAACGCAGTCCTAGAGGTCGCCGCCGCCGGACTGCCCCGGGCGGTCAAGACTTCTCAGAAAGTCCCCAAGCAGAATCTCCGGTCCCCTCTCTCGTATCTGTCCCATTATGATACTCTTTAGTTTCTCCATTTGGGTTTGGATTTCAGAACCTGAACCAGCCAAGTGTTAAAAATAACGTATAGTAGTAAGAGCATCTATAATTGCTCTTTCTCACCTATTTCCGAAGTACAGCGCTTGTATTTAAAAAACAAAAAACAAACTATGGAATTTCTGAACCTAAATAGAGGTAAATGCTATTGTTCTGGTGCTCCTCCGACTCGCAGGTTCCAACTTTAGGCAAACTTCACTTTCCCCATCGCTTCTAAACGGCTCCAAGTGGAAAGGAAAAAAGATGGAGCCCCACTGGGAGGAGGGGAGAATGATACCTTTCTGAGATCACTCTGAATTACTGTAGGGTCAAAGAAATATTGCCTTTCCTGTGCAAAGCAGGGGTGGAGGTATTCACAGAAAGGCAAGGATTTACCCCGGGAATCTCTCTCGACCTGGGATTTGGGAGGTGGATGCGGTTGCTATAACGTAGTGGAAATGCAAAATCAATTTAGGCATTAAAAACAAAGTCAGAATCAACTTGACCTCAGGTGCCTGGTCTGAGAGAAAGAAGGAGAAAGAAGATGAGTTTAACTTTCTCTACTGAGGTTGCGGTGCCCCTGGGGCCGAGGAGGCAGGTCCCGGGATTCAGCAGAAGTTTGGCAAAAACCCGAGCCCCGCGGCACGCGCGCTGCGCCTCTCCTTCAGGAGCGCTTTCCCGGCAGCAGCAAAGCCGGACAACTGCGCCTTAGCCCCGTGTTCTCAGAGGTGTCCCCCCTACCCCCTTTACACACACTTAGCGAACACAATCTAGTCCTTTGGAAATAACTACCTTTGGCGAGCAGCTTCAGGGTGTCCGAGGGAGGCGTCCGTGGCCAGCTGGGCGCAAAAGGTAGGCTTGGGCCAAGGGCAAGGGCAAGAGGCGCACGCTAGAGGCCATGGAGCTGCCAGGAGCCCGTGCAGTCCGCGGGCTGTGGTGGACACCGAGCCCCTGAGCCTGGGCCAGGTCGCTTGCAGAGTGGAAAGAGGGCCTTGCTGGGTGCTCGCGGCCTCCCGCCTTCCCTTGGGATCCTTTCCTCTCTCTTTCTCTACCCCGCAGCTCCAAGCGTCTGGTGACCCTGGCCCGGGGACTTTCGCCGGCCTTTCTGCGCTTCGGGGGCAAAAGGACTGACTTCCTGCAGTTCCAGAACCTGAGGAACCCGGCGAAAAGCCGCGGGGGCCCCGGCCCTGATTACTATCTCAAAAACTATGAGGATGGTGAGAAACTTGCTTCCCATTCTTGCGGGGTGGGGGGAGTTGGGAAAGTGGGAGCGAGCTGTGTGTGGATGGGGTGGGTAGAGATAGATTTGGAGGAGAGCCTGGTAGAAGCTCTCCTGAAAAGCCGGTAGCTGCAGGCGAGGGCACGCCGGAGTGTGGGCTCCTGACGTGATTACGCAGAAAGGGCTTTCAGGTAGTCCAGGTCCCAGCTGCTTGCCTTCCGCGGGGCTGCTAAATCCCAAGGCCATGAACTGTAGCCCAAACTTTCGGAAAGCTTGTCCAGTGGGGAGAAGATGCAGTGGGTTTCTTGAGAAAATACAGGCGGGTTCATAGGCTATTAAAGGTCAGGTTCACATTTCATTGCTAAAATTTAGAAAAAAAGTGGCTATTGTTTTTATTTCTTGTTTTCCTGAGGTGAGAATCCAGCCTTTTTTTGAAACCTACTCTAAAGTTTTCTGAAATAATCCCTTTTAGATTGGTCCCTTATTAGGGAAGGTTTGAAAATCTCCACAGTCGGTTCTCCTTCAGACTGCCTAATCTCAGAGTCACATTAAAAAAGAAAATTAAAATTGGATTATAAATGCCAGCCTTCTTTCCTGCCAGGATCAGATGAGTTAAGCGTCTGGCTTTGAAAATTCCAGATCCTATTCCCGTGTGAGGTGGCCCAATCTTTTTAGGTTTGAACACTCTCATTTTCAGTAGGGAAAAATGAAAATGGTATTTAAAAATTTTGTTTAGGGAGTTCCGTGTTAATATCTATGAACTTCCTGTGTGGGTAAAGGGACATACTTTTTTTCAGACAGGCAAGATGGGAATTGGTGGGTCCTCAGCCACTGAGGCTGTTTAGATAAGATAGAAGAGCATCAGTGTCCATTTTTGGAGGGCTATCTCTGTCCTGCTGTTCCTTCTCATAAGTGAGTTACAGTTTTATTTTTAAAGGGTTCAGGGACAGTTTCTCAGAGCCCCCTGGATTTTGTTACACCTTGTCCTTATAAATCAGCAAAACGAGGAAATGCTGTTTTATTTTCTGGGGCTTTCACTGAATGGGAATTTTGGAGAGGTACTGGATTTATTTCAAGGGTGGCTGAGAAACTTTTTTTTAAAGTGCCAGAATGGAGAAAGAGAACAAGGTTGAGACTTCTTGAGTTTGAAGTGTGAATAGGACTTCCTCTTTTATAACATCTGCCAAAGTGTGTAGGTGTTTAAGGCTATATCTTTTCCAAGGTAAATGTCATTGCCATAAAAATTAGATTGCAAGTAGATTTTGCTGTCATTCAGCATAAAATCCTGAACAGCAGCTCTGTTGGTAATTTGACCCAGGGCCTTATAGCTCGCAGGGTCACTGTCAGCTCTTGTGATCAGACATAAGGAGGGAAAATATTAATGCTTTCCTGATGAAATAGCTCTTTTTTGAATCCATTTGAAATATTTCCTCTTTAGTTTGTAGTAAAACTTGTAAGAGCCCCAGGAATTGGCCTTTTCTCCAAAACTTGTACCTAGGATTATATTACTGATTCATTGAGAACATGAGACCATCTTCAAATGAAGGATACAATTTGTTTTCCTTTGTAAAAGGAGAAAGTGGGCACCATGGGGAGGAAAGAAATTGGCAAAAGACTGTGCCCCATAAAACTTAATAGAATTTAAAAAAATCAGAATTGGAAAAGATCTAAGAGATCATCTTCAATCCTCCCACCATTTCAGGGGCCGGCCAGTACAGGATCATTTCATATGGAATCCTTTCCTTGTTTTGTCCAACCTGGCATTCAATATCTCTAGGAATACAGTTTTCACCACTTCTATGGGAGAGAGTTTTTCTGTCCCATAGGTTTTTGCCAGCAAATTTATCCTGAGATTTTCCTTTATGCATATTCCATAAATATTTATAATTATTCATTTTGTATTTTTTAAGTGTCTACCTTCAAAATAATTTCTGTCCTTGGCATATCACCTTCAAAAAAAGAGGTTTTGTCATAGCTGTTTTTTATCTAGACTACCTGGATTTAATTCTTTTAAAACTTTCTTTAAAGTCAGTTCTTCCAGACACTAATCTGTTTTATTGCTCCTAGCTGAACTTCTTTGATTTATGTCTCTTGGTAGTAAGATGCTCTGAACTATATCAGTATTTGAGTCCTTAGCAGAGTTAAAGAGAGTGGGAATGCCCTATTTCTGCCCTTTGATGCTTCCATATCCTTAAGCCACCATGTTGTCTTCGTTGTTGCATGTTGCATTGCAGAATTCAAGGCAAAATTGTTTTAGGTATAGTCTCAGCAATTTTGAAAAATTATACTTCAGTTGTTACTTTTCATTCAGTGACAATTTTCATCTTAAAATAATTAGGTCTTCTCAGTAAATGGCCCTATAATAGGCACTTAGGCATAAGCACCTTATTAAAAAAAAGATATTACTGACTTAAACATATTGTAAAATAATAGAGTCATGTGGCTTCTATTTTCCAAATAATTTTAAGTACTTTAATGCAACTGTGTTTTCTCTTTCTACAGCCATTGTTTATCACTTTTGGAACTTCTTTGGTTACTCCTTTAATATACTCTATGCTTAGGCAACTTAAATTTTATAGAAACATGGTGATGATGGAGGAAATAAAAATTGGATTGTTCTTCATACCTTGGAATCTTACTCTTTGCCTAACTTTCTCTCTATTCTGTGATGTTATGCTTTTCTTGCTCTCAACAAAGAAATTTGGGTTAATCTTTTGTTCATAAGTTTATTTTGCTCCAATTTGCCCTTCTTTGTTACATATTCTATGTGCTTTCTTTATATACCTGCCTCTTTGCTGCCATAACCATATCTTTAATCAAGTTGTATACCATTTATTATACACATCAGAAACCAGCTTAATATTTCTAAAATATCACATTCATCATGTTTCCTTTAAAAACATTATTTCCAATTACAGTTGACATAACAATATTATATTAGTTTCAGGTATATCATGTCACTTTTTTGCTAAAAAATGATTATTTTTGGATTGCTTACAGAAATGTTTAAACTCCTCAACTTGGCATTCAAGGCCTTTTGCATTTCAATCTCAGCTTACCTTCTGTAACTTGTGTTTTGATATACCTTTTATTACAACCCTACTTAATTTCACTGTCTTCTTAAAGCACTGTCTAAACCCCATATCTATGTTCAGCTGGTATATCTCTGCTTTGAATCCCTTTCTCTTGGCTTTGTTCAAATCTCATCCCCTACCCTGCCCAATTCCTGAAGGCCTATTGCAAATGCCCCTTATTTCCATAAAGCCTTTCCTGAACAAGGCATACCATAACCATCTTTTCTTCCTCTAGTCCATTGTAGCTTTTACTCTTTATGCTGTTCTTTTGGCCCTCTCTACTTTCTTTTGCTTTTTCACTTTTCACACAAGTTATTTGTTTGTTTTAACTTTCCAAGTGGCTCCATTGGCTAAAGCAACATCCCATATACACACAGAAAAGGTGGTGGGTTCATTCCTGGTTGGGGCACACGCCTAGGTTGCAAGTTTGCTCCACAGTCAGGGCGTGTGTGGGAGGTGACTGATCGATATTTCTCACATTGATGTTTCTCTCTCTCTCTCTAAAACAATCAATAAAAACATATCCTTGGGTGAGGATTAAAAAAAAGAAAGAATGCACATTCTTTATAGGAAGGGATCATATCTAATTATTGTGTATCCCCAAATGCCTAGCATAATGTATGACACATAGTAAACCTTCCGCAAATATTTTTGGATACATAAAAGGTTAAGAGCACTGTTAAAGGCACTGGGAAAATGGAGGTGACCAACGAAGAAAAGAATGAATACAAACATGAAGATTCTATTCATTTTTTATCTTCAATGCATGTTCCCATGAAAGTCTGCTTTTAATGCTTAGTTTAATAACATCATTCATTTTCTTAGCCATGTACTCTTTATCTTTGGTAGTCTAAGCTGTCTTGGTTTCATGCACTGTATTAAATCAACCTTACCACTTGGTTTAAAACCTTGCACTGGACTCACACTATTTTATTTTTATTGTATCTGTTTCTTCTGTGCTTTTACTTTTGCTTTTCTTTGTTAGTCTTATGTAGTTGATATGTCTAACTTTTCAATTCCTGATTTAATAGTGCCTTTCACAAGTTTATTATTTTTTGTCTTTATTTCCTGAAGATTTTCTCTTCAGAGAGTTTTTGAAATTCTAAATGATCAGTGTGAGTACACTTTGTAAACTCTAAGGCACTATACAACTATTATTATTGTTCTTTTCTCCAGGAACTTTTCCTAGTTTTAGTAGAGGTGAGGTAATTAATTCTTTTTCTTTCTATCTCCATTCCATTAATGAAGACATATGACATAAGAACAGCACAACTGCCAAAATACATATTTACCTTGAACGTATCCACCTTCTATTATCTCATTTTACCTCACCTAAATGTTTCTTGAAATTCAATTATACTTAACAAGTATTTATTTATTTAAAAAGAACAAATATTTATTGATTATCTACTTTGTGTTTAGTTTCATGCTGAATAAGGAATGGCAGAATATCAAATAAAAAATGCTGTCCTAAATCATCATTAGAACCCAACAGTAAAAAACTGCTATAGGTAAGATTCACTAATCTGTGTTAAAATAAGAAGAGGAGCCCGGCTGGTGTGGCTCAGTGGTTGAGCGTGGACCCAGGAACCAAGAGATTGCCAGTTTGATTCCCAGTCACATGGGCTCAATCCCCAGTAGGGGGCATGCAGGAGGCAGCTGATTGATGATGTTCCTCTCTCATCGATGTTTCTATCTCTCTATCCCTACCCCTTCCCCTCTCTGAAAGAAAAAAAAAAATCAATTAAAAATAATTTTTTATTGTGGTGGTTTTAGAATATGTCCTCAAATTCTCTGGTACTTTGCATCTAGGATATGATTGACTTCTCTCCTTTTGAGTGTAGACTGGATTTAATGACTTGCTTCTAAAGAAGAGAGTCTTAAAGGGGAAAATGCTAACTTTATGGTGGAGAAAATGACAGAC